GTTCTCCCCTAAAGGACAGGCTGTTTCACAACTTGAGGGCAAATGGGACGAGGTGATGGTTCAGAAACTCGATATGCAACATCTCCGCGTGCTCTGGCGTATCACTCCTTTCCCGAGGAATGTTTCCGACTATTATGGTTTTACGGCGTTCGGCATTACCTTGAACGAGATCACTTCGGATCTCGTAGGACGACTACCACCCACGGATTCTCGTCTACGACCGGACGTGAGAGCGCTCGAGGAGGGAGATGTCGATTTGGCCGAGGATGAGAAGCACCGCGTGGAAGAACTGCAGCGTGAACGACGGAGACAAGGCCAAGAACGCAAACCTCGGTGGTTTAAGAAGGTGGGGGAGGAGTGGCAGTATGTTGGCGGCTATTGGGAGGAACGAGCTCATGGATGGAAATCTGTCGAGAATCTTTGGTGACATCTCTTGGATATATTCGCTTCTTAATCTACTTCAACTGGCTAATGCTGTATGTACTTTGCTAGAGCTTAGAGCCGTCCGGACCCTTCAGACACTCACGTGGATTGTATTTTCGCTCTAACGTCGCTTATTTTACCCTCATATTGGATGCGAACCCGGCGTTGCGAACATCGTTGCAACCGATACTTCAGCGGCTTATAGCGACAGCGCATGCTTGGTCATTGTGCAAGACTATGCGCTGCCGTTATTTTTCCGCTCCTTATCCGTCAGGGTTCCCGCTATCATGTTCTACATGCTGACTTTAGATTCCAACCGAGGGCAGTATTTACTTAATGGTATGAGGAGGGCAACTTGGCGAGGTATAAAACGTGGGCACTACGCGCTGCATGCTGTGGACGACCTCACAGCAATATTGCACACTATGGCTGTCAAGTCTACTGTTCTGTATTTTCAGGTCATACTTGGCTTTATAACTCTTATTGCGGCCCAATCGGGCCAATATGGACAATGCGGTGGGATAGGATGGACGGGAGCCACCACCTGCATCAGCGGCTGGACATGCACAAAACAAAATGACTGTATGGACGCGAACTTTCCCAACGTTTCTCCACTGATCAAAATATCGTCAGACTACTCTCAGTGTCTACCCGGAGCAGCGACTACATCGGTTTCGTCTTCGAGTGGCGGTGCGTCTACACCGAGCACTCCAAGCTCTTCCAGTGCCAGTGTTCCGACCCCGACACAAACTCCTGCTAATATCTCTCCTGAATGGGCTGCCGCCTACAAGAAGGTAAGATTTGGTCCGGTTCACCCTCGAGTGCGAGTTTAATCACGTTCTTACAGGCACAAGCAACCGTCGCAAAATTGTCAACAGAGGACAAAGTTAACCTTGGAACAGGTTGATACGATATACTAAATGTGTTTCTTGCATAGTGTTGACGCCGTTTCAGGTGTCCAATGGATGAAAGGTCCATGTGTGGGAAATATACCTGCCATCTCTTCGATTCCCGGATTCTCTGGTCTCTGCCTTCAGGGTTTGTACTGACTTCAAAGTATACTTACCCAGCATCCTCTGAACATGGTCATCTAGATGGTCCCGTCGGCGTCCGGTATGCGGACAAAATCTCGGTATTCCCGCCGTAAGTCAAAAGCCGTTTTAAGCTATTATTGGGAAAGATTGATGGGGTATCCTAGGGAGATAAACGTTGCAGCTACGTAAGGATGACTACAACGGCAAGATTGTCTCGAAGGCTAATTGGCAAGTCATAGGTTCAACCGAACTCTAATGAGGCAACGCGGTGCCGCTATGGGCGCGGAATTCAAGGGGAAAGGAGGTACATGCACATTTCCGCTATTGCAGGAAAGCGGCTCATACTGCCGGTCCCAGCGCATGTCGCTCTCGGACCTATGATGAACCTGATGAGGGTCCCCAATGCCGGACGTAACTGGGAGGGGTGAGTGTTATCTTAGATACATCACATTCGTGCTAACGCATATGTTTGCAGCGGAGGTGGCGATCCATTCTTGTCGGGCGAGCTCGCATTCGAAACCGTTACTGGTATCCAGTCCTCAGGTGCACAGGCTTGCGCAAAGCACTATATAAACAAGTTCGTCTCATCTGCGCTATATCTAAACATCCCTAACTGTGACTACAGCGAACAGGAGCATTTCCGTGACTCAAGTTCCTCCATTGTCGATGACCGGTAAGAAACTTCGTTTGCTATTTCCGGTAACGTGCTGACCAGTGACCATAATACCAGAACTGTAAGTCATGGATAAAATTCTACAATATAATGTCACCAATTAACCGAGCATCCTCAGCAACACGAATTATACTTGCATCCGGTATGACAACATACTATTCCACCGTCTTTTGGAGCTCCACTTAGTTTCCACAGTTCCTTCGCAGTGTGCAGGCCAATGTGGCGAGCGTGATGTGCAGTTATAGTGAGTACTTTTCTTGTGTCGCAATAAGTAGATGCTGATGCATATCATATTAGACCAGAGTGAGTGGTTTTGATGCGAGTTAAACCACAGGACCGGGTGCTCATTCGATGGACAGTTAATGGCTCTTTCTCCTGCGAGAATGACAAAACTCTCAACGGACTACTGAAAGGAGAGCTCGGATTCCAAGGATACGTGACGTCCGGTATGTTGGTCATAAACTACTACTAGTAATATTGATGTCGTTATTGAACCATTGATCCCTTGGAAGACTGGTGGGCTACTCACTCTGGTGCATCTGCCGTAAACGCTGGCCTTGATGTCAGTCGTCTGCACCGCAGAACTTCCAAGCCAATTCTCATCCTTGGTAACATAGATGACCATGCCCGGAGATGAGACTTACGAGTCCGGAACAACGCAAGTCTAACTCCCGTGAATGTTCGACAGTCTGACTAAAAAGATTATTCTATAGTTATTTTGGCCAGAATCTTATCAATGCAGTCAATAGTGGCCAAGTTACCCAAGACCGCATCACAGTTTGTGGCTGAAAATATTTATTCAAAATATGATTCCCTGTTAAGTGGTTTTTGTAGGATTTGGCCACCCGTATCCTTGCTGCTTGGTATTTGCTCGGCCAAGACTCTGGCTTCCCTGCTGTCAACTTCGACTCCTGGACCCCCAGCCAAGGCCAACACATTGACGTCTCAGGCAGCCACGCCAGGTAGATAGCTTGGTATTTATTTTCTATCCATGATCACTGAAGGAACCCATTCTAGTCTCATCCGCACAATCGATGCAGCGTCCACGGTATTGCTGAAGAACGTCGATGGTACCCTACCGCTGAGCAAACCCAAAACTATTGGTATCGTTGGAAATGGCGCAGGCTCAAACTCACAAGGACCGAACGGGTATGAAAGCAATGACTCCACCCGCTTGCGAATTTATATGTAGCTGACTTGTCATCGAATAGATTCGCCGACCGTGGTGGTGACAGTGGAGTTCTGGCCATCGGATGGGGCAGCGGTACTGCTGACTTCCCATACTTGATTGCTGTAGGCAATCTTTTCCCATGCTATCATCGCATAGCTCATACATGCGCGTATAGCCCGTGGACGCCATTACCACAAGAGCCAAGCAGGACGGGACAACGGTCACTTCTTCTTTGAGTGACACAGATTTGACTGGAGCAGCGAATGCGGCGTCAGGGAAGGATATTGCCTTTGTCTTCATTACTGCTGACAGTGGGTGAGTGCCTACAGTACATTACAGAGAATATGTTCATCATTCAAATAGTGAGGGATATATTACTGTAGAAGGTAATGCCGGCGATCGTAATGACCTTAGCGCATGGCACGGCGGCGTAAGTCAAGGAGAACGTCGGTCACAAATGCGTGCTGATTATTGCTATAGGATGCTCTTGTTGCACAAGTAGCAAAGTCGAACAAGAACACCGTTGTGGTTGTCAATAGTGTAGGCCCTATTAACACGGAGGCATGGGTCACCCATCCGAACGTTACTGCGATCGTATGGAGTGGGGTTCCCGGACAAGAGGCTGGTATGTTCAGAGGCACTAGTAGTATTCAAGTCGACTAATGTTACTTACTAACCTTCTAGGAAATGGTCTCGTAGATGTGCTCTACGGAAGCTACAGCCCCAGGTAATATTGGTGGAATTTGCGCGCAACCACTTCGAGTTAATCTTGATTCTTTATAGCGGCCGGCTGCCCTTTACCATCGGAAAGTCTACCAGCGACTACTCCACGCAGCTCGTCACCAGTGGATCTGGCATAGTGCCGATACCTTACAATGAAGGCCTCTTCATCGACTACAGGCACTTCGATCAGGTGCGTGATCTCACTTTTTTTTTTTACTTCGCCACGTTGTTAAACATATTGTCAGGCAAACATTGCTCCAAGATTCGAATTTGGCTTTGGTCTTTCTTACACGACGTTCAACTACTCGAACTTGAAAATCAGTGGATCCACTGCTGGTGGTACTCGTCAGCCGAATGGTCCTGGTGCTTCTCTTGACCCATGGTAGGCGTTTGTGCTGTAGCCGTTGTAACAATTTCGGTCCTGATTCGAGTATTTCTCAGGCTGCACGATCCAGTGGTTACCGTAACATTCACTCTCACAAATACTGGCCAGGTAGATGGCACGGAGGTGAACGACGATATTTCGATGATTAACTTTAGGACTAACCAATATCGTATATAAACCTTACAGATACCTCAACTTTACACATCGCCACCGGCTTCTGCGAAGAGCGCCCCTAACAACTTGAAGGGCTTCGACTCGGTCTTTCTCGCTGTGGGAGCTAGCACAACGGTTTCGTTTGAACTTTCGCGCTATGATTTCTCCGTATGGAACGTCGTGTCCCAGCAGTGGGATATCCCCTCTGGTGTGACGGGCATTTCAATCGGTGCGAGCAGCCGAGACGTGCGACTGAAAGGGTCCATCACAAACTGAGCAGTGTTGACTATTCATTATTTTGCATGAATTCCTATTTGCCACGGTGCTCTTCACAGATTCGTCACAAAATCTGTAAATACGATTAAAGAATATCTGCTTTTTGGAGTCATGTGGGCATCTTGTGAATATTATGTATTCTAGCAAAGAAGAAGGAAAAAGTGCTCGAGAAGGGAGTCGAACCCATGATCTTCGGATTACGTGAACCAAAGCTCACTCACACTGACGCTTAGTATGAGACCGACGCTCTAACCAACTGAGCCACTCAAGCTTGAAATATAATGTAATTCAGTACACTCTATACACAATAGAACGAAAGGACGGGAAATTAGGCAGGTATCCCTATTAGCAGCACTCATCACGGGTGTTGTTCAAGGCTCCCTGTGTACCTGGGGTCTGGTTCCGGCCCTGGTCGCAGGTGGTTCCCGCGGTTTGCCTCCGATGGTTCCTGTACCAGCGGGGCTCCCGAGGTCCTTGCCTAAACGGGCGGGAACCACCTAAATAAGGCAATGATGCACACCATTGATGGCAGCTCCTGCCTGTTTCAGTAGTAGGACCCCGTCGGGGCTGCCCTCGGGGTCGTGTTCAGGTCGATCGCGTTGACTCTGCACTAGTCGTTCGTGTCGACACGCCACGCTCTCTCTGCCCCAACGCACTCGCACTCGACACTCTCCTGCAACTGCGTGCACCGTGACGCCTTGCTTCTCGCAGCAGCGTGCTGGCTCGCTGTCTCTTCGCTGAACAAACGGCGCTGGGGTGGCGGCTGGCGCGATGCTTTGCGGGATGTTGGTTAATGGCTGGCCGCCGCAAGTCCTCTCAACAGCCTGTCTGGCAAGTACTCCGTCTTTGCCGACAGACCTACACACCTCTCTGCACCTTGGGCCCTGGCTGGCCATCACCTGCTTCCTACCTCATTCGCTATGGCTTCATCGAAGGCCGACTACCATCGCAACCGCATGCGCTGGCTGGCATCACCTCTTGCGCAGGAGACAGACCTCAGCTGTGTCGATAGGCACTACCACTTGCATGCAATCCGTGCCGAAGACGTTGCTGCTTTCGACTTCATTCCACATGACTCTGGTGAGCACTGGACTCAGGTGCCGTGGATATGTGTGTGCTCCGTGCCACCCTACTCTGCGTCGCCAACTGCTGTAGCAGCATCCGGGCTTATGAAGCCCGCCTTCTTTTCGGTAACTGGCCAACTCAGTTGCCAGGAAGTTGTCTTTGAGACAGTGCCTGGATTGAACGGCCAGCCGTCGCCATCTAGCAATACACACATCGCTTTTTGGGTAGAGCCGCGGCCGGACAACATAGCTATCAGGGACTGGGGCTCGTTCGGGGGCACTCTGGAAAGATTGGCCGCACGGTCAACCGTGTCGACCGATCTGTCGAAGCTCTACGCACTTGATGAGCATGGTGTCACTCGAATTCGCCCGCAAGGCACGGAAACACGCAGCGGAATGCAGGTGTGTCTGGTCATCAGATTAAGGCTTCGGCTGCACAGCTCATCTGTCTACTTTAGCTGGTGAGACTTGGGAGTGGATTCTCGTGGTTTAATGCGGACGGTGATAGGTTGAGCATAGCCTCTCGAGGGCAGATGCCGTTCGATCAGTGTGTTCACGTACTCTTCCAATTGAAGCATGTACGACATCTCGGAGCTGGAAATCAGCATTTCATGGAGGCATCCCTTGTGTATATAGCCCTTGTCTAACTTAATGCCTATCTACATATGCAAGACAATTAAAACTGTGGTCTTTCATTCTGTTATCAAATCCCGACATTAGTTGCATAGCCTTCACATGCCGTCAGAAGTCCAAGTGATCAGACTATCATTGAAAAGTGAACTTCATGGAATTCAGAATGCAAGTACAGTACGAAAACTAGCAGCGAGATTATAATAAGCAACTTATAGAAAATGAACTAAGTGCCATTAGCGAGTTTAGTGATACCTATCAGCAGCGGCGTGAATTTCACTGAGTCTATCAGCCTTATTCTTTGCCTTGATACTATCTGAGAACTGCCGTGCCGTCATCTGCCCATACGTCTCACTAAGAAACTTCAATGTAACCTTAATACTCCACCGAGGCCGTTTTGCCAGTTCATCTACAACCATGACAATCTTCTGCCGCCGCAAATACTCAACCTTCAGGCGGTCACTACCACGACGCCACTGCGTACCCCAACGTTCAGTTAATAGATGCACTGGCAACCGACCATTGAGACCGTCGGCCCACTCAGTCCATACAAGCTTGATTGTAGGGGCGGGTTGAAATTGGTAGGTGGGGATCAGCTCGCCAGCCGTCGGATTCCACTCCCAAGGGCTGTGCATGTCGTATCGTGACTTGCCGAGCTCAGCTAATAGCGCAAGCTGTTTTTGCGATCGGCTATCACATGTCTCTAGGGGGGCATGGTTCGGGGGCGAAGGCATGATAATCGGGGAAGGTTCAAGTGGAATAGTTAAGGTCGCCAACGACCGCTCAAATGATTGGGAGAGAGGATCAACAGGAGACGACGAAATCATGGGTGGAGAATGCAAGCTTATGGGCTCGCACGCAGAGTCAAGACACTCTACAGGCGCTTCAAAAGCTGTCATCCCTGTAACCGTCTGGGATAATGATGCCTTCGACTCGATTGGGGTAAAGGTAGAAGGAGCTAGAACAATCGAGATCAGTGTGCGGGTTGGGTGGTCACGGTGAGCTCATGCCCATACCTTTACTTTTGCGTAACCGACCGGATCGGCTCCTGGCTATGTTGGTGACAGCAGTCTCGAGACTGTGCATCGTGTTTGCCATTCCATGCATATTGGCATGCATAGTCTCGAACTGCTGCTGCTGCCGCACTAGAGAATGCGTAGCTATGCCTTGCATTGTGCGAGCACATGTCTCGGGCAAGTTGCGGACTGCCGCTGCCGCCTCTACCTTGGCGGTCTCCAACACAGCAACTGACTGTGCAGCGAACTGATGAAATCTCGCAGTGTTGAACGGCGCAAAGTTCCAGATCGCACATTCTGGATGTTCAACAAAGAGAACAGCAGCATCCTGCAGCAATACGAGGCGTAGCCATTCAAGTAACTGAAGAAAGTTTCGCAGAGCGAAATCTTGTGCGCGCGTGTCATGAGCTACGCGTATGTCTAATTTTTCTCGCTGATCCTCGATCCACGGAAAGAGCTCACGAAGCAGCTCTGGAGGCGGCTCTATAGCATAACTATATTAAATTATTTTAAACACACACTGACAGCTCACAGGCTTACCTAGAAGACTTCGAGGGAGAGCATAATCTTGAGGCTTCTTGCCATTGAACCCAGCGGCACCGAGCATGGCATCTATCGGCAACGCACGCTCATAGCAATTGCGATACACGCTGCCGTCGTTCCAGCATCCAAGTGCCTTTGTGCCAGTCTCCGTCGCTCCATTGGCTCGGGCAGTCAAGGCAGCATACGGACGTGTCGCGTGGGTGACCTTCGATATGTCGACTGCATTCGCCTTGTGCATTGTGTGGATTCGATCGCGATGGTCTACAGATAAGAGTCAGCATACAGTTCTCATCGGCATAAATTTATAAACGAGACTTACTGTCATATGTCATCTTTGTCTGGCGGTTTGCGCCAAAGAAGACATGATACTGGTACCATTTGCGAGAGCCCCAAGGACCGCAGTTGCCAGTCGTGAAGTCGGGTGTCAGCTCGTTCTCCGATGGCGCGAAGTTCATGACATGAAACATGGCCCAGAATAGAAACGCCAATGCGCCTACAGCACAGACACGGTGACACGCTCCTCAGGCGCTAGCAAGTATGCGCGACCTTTTTCCGCTCACGCACACTCAACCCGCACGCTTCTACCAGCCCTCTACCTTCTCTATTCCCATCCTTCCGCATTTAGGGAGCGCCGATCACTTCTGCAAAAGTGCGCACTACGTTCTCGACGCTGTCGCTTAACTAGCTATCAAAGACTGAAAATAAGAGTACGGGAACGATCTCCTATACTCCTAGAAAAGTTGGTTAGTAAGTTGTGGAGGGTGGGTGCTTCAATAGATAGTTCTGAGGTTCACTGGACTTGTCGTTCGTCAAGCTATCTCAGTGTTCGTTGGGAATATTTAAGCGCTACCTTTCACGTGACACAATGAGTAATAAGAAAAGAAGAAATAGAAAAGAGATAAAGAAAAAGAGATAAAGAAAAGGAGATAGAAAAAGAGATAAAGAAAAAGAGATAGAAAAGAGAATAGAAAAAGAGATAGAAAAAGAGATAAAGAAAAAGAGATAGAAAAAGAGAATAGAAAAAGGAAATAGAAACAGAAACTTGAAACAGGAAATAGAAACAGAAACTTGAAACACACGAAACTATACAGAACAATAGAAGGGTCCTGAAACGTGGACAGACGTGGAAGAGGTTCGGCGCACTTGGCTTACTGACTTC